ATTTTTGACGAGCCCTAATGTAATTCGGACGGCGTGCGCTACCATTCAGGCGTTAGCAACACAGACCGTGCACGTGCCCCCGGGTTCACAAATGTTGATTCCCCTCCGGTTACGGAAGCCATGGGGGAAGGAGGCCTCGGAACAGGCCATGCTTTTGGGTCCTTCTAATAGGGCTGATGGAGGTCTCGATTTATCGGTGGCTCACACTTTGGTTGGGGCAGACAGGGATCCGTTTGTCATGGTTTTAAACGCTGGGGCGCGGCCGGCCGTCATTCAGCAGGGCACCGTGCTGGCTCACGCGGCACGGGTCCCTGCGGAGGAGAGGCTGGTTGCGCAGGTTGATCCGAGCCCCACGAATAGCGTACCATCAAAGGAGGACCTAGATTGGATTGATATGCTGTGCGCGGACTCTGACGATTTGTCAGCGGTACAGTTGGGCGCGTTGCGCGGGTTGCTGAATGAATTTTCGGATGTCTTCAGTAAACATAAGTATGATATCGGATGCACGGACCTGCTACGCCACCACATTGAAACGGGCGATGCGGCACCGGTCAGGCAAAATCCCTTCCGACTGAGTCCTGCTGAGAAGGAACATGTTCAGTCGGCAGTTAACGATATGCTGGAAGCCGACATTATTTCGCCTTCTTCCAGTCCTTGGGGAGCACCTATTGTGCTCGTTAAAAAGCAGGACGGGTCCCTGCGATTTTGCGTCGATTTCCGCCGCCTGAATAAGATCTCGGTGGCCGACGCGTATCCGCTCCCCAGGATGGACGAGTCTCTCGACGCATTGTCCGGTGCGCGATACTTTTCGACTCTTGATTTATTGTCCGGATTTTGGCAGTTGCCACTCGACGAGGAGTCTAAGCCTAAGACTGCATTCCGGACTCCAGGGGGCCTGTTTCAGTTTAACCGGTTACCCATGGGACTTCACTCCTCTCCTGCGACGTTTCAGCGTCTTATGGAATTGGTTTTGTCGGGCTTGCAGTGGGAAACGTGCCTCATTTACCTTGACGATGTCATTGTTTTCGGTAAAACGTTCGAAGAACACCTCCAGCGATTGAGAGGGGTGTTCTCGCGAATGCGATCGGCTAAATTAAAGTTTAAACCGGCCAAATGCCATCTTTTTCGTAAATCCGTGAGGTACTTGGGTCACATTGTCGACTCTTCGGGGATTTCTACCGATCCTGCGAAGACGGACTGTGTCAGTTCGTGGCCGACGCCCACGTCAGTGTCAGACGTGCGCAGTTTCATCGGTTTTGCTTCGTATTATCGCCGATTCGTTGAGCACTTCGCCACCATTGCAAAGCCCTTGCACGCTTTAACGGCAAAAGGAGTGAAGTTCCGGTGGGGACCGGAGGAGGAGGCTGCATTCTGCTCCCTCCGGGACGCCTTGGTAAGGGCCCCACCCTTGAGCTATCCGGACTTTGAGAGTCCCTTCTTGCTAGACACGGATGCTAGCAACACGGGCATTGGGGGGGTGCTGTCCCAAGTCATTGGAGGGGTCGAACGGGTGGTCGCCTATGGTAGCAGGGTGTTGTCGCCGGCAGAGCAGCGCTACTGCGTCACCCGTCGTGAACTACTTGCCATTGTTTTTTTTGTACAACAATTCAGGCCATATCTCTATGGTCGTCATTTCACGGTCCGGACGGACCATGCGGCGCTCCAGTATTCATTACGGGTTGCCCAGCCCTCGGGCCAATTGTCGCGGTGGTTGGAAGTCCTCCAGGACTATCAGTTCACGACTACGTACCGTAAAGGGTTGCGACACACGAATGCCGATGCCCTGTCGCGGTTGTTGCCTTGTCACAAATGTGCGTGCTTATCGGGATCGGCGCGCTGTAAACCTCCGGTTACGGAAGGTAGGGAGGCGTTGGTTGCGACCGCGAGCACACCAATTGGGGATGGTCCCGCTACCCCAGGGGGTCAGGACTCGCTGCTCTCACTGTCGTTGATTGAGTGGGGCCGTCTCCAAATGGCGGACAGCTCCCTGCTGGCATTGCGCCGAAAGACGGAGGGTTCCGAAGGTAGCCACGACCGAACTGGCTCCTACGAGCTTAAGCAGGGACTGTTGATGAGATGGGACAGTTTGTCCCGGCGGCATTCGATTGTGGTGCCTTCTGCTGTGAGGGGGAAGGTTGTCTTGGCCGCACACGAACGCCTCTTGCATTTGGGAGTTAACAAAACGCTTGCCCTGCTTCAGCGTGACTATTATTGGCCGGGAATGGGGGGTGACGTGGTGAATATTCTGAAGGGTTGTGTTGAGTGCGCCAGACGGAAACCACCGCCCGTGGCAGCTAATCCACCGCTGCAATCTATTCAGGCCTCGCGCATTAACGAGCTCGTTGCACTCGATATTCTGGGGCCCTTTCCGGTCACGCCTAGGGGTAATAAGTACCTGTTGGTGGGGGTCGAATATTTTACCCGGTGGCCTATGGCGTGGCCACTCGCCAACCAGTCGGCGGCGGCTGTGACGGACGCCTTTGTCCAGGGCTACGTCCTGGACAAGGGGGCTCCCGAACGCTTGCTGACTGACCAAGGGAAAAATTTTTCGAGTAAATTACTGCAGGAGGTGTGCGACCTGTTGGGTACCAAAAAGGTGCGTACCTCCCCGTACCACCCGCAGACAGACGGGATGGTGGAGAGGCTTAACAGGACATTGACCTCTATGCTGTGCCAGCAGGTGTGTGAGTCGCATGTTGATTGGGACCTGCAGGTCCCTGGGGTCCTTGCCGCGTATAGAATGGCCCCCCACGCAGCTACGGGGTTTTCCCCGTTTTTTCTAATGTACGGCCGGGAAGCCGACCCGCCCATGGAAACGCAGCTGGGTCTGCCCGCACCACGAACTAATTCTAAATTGGCAGAGCATATTAAATTTAATATTCATAAACTGACAGAGGCAAGGGAGGCCGCACGGCTTAATTCGCGGGCTCGCCAAATTGCGAACGAGCGGTTGCGGGCACGGAAGGTATCCGTGCACAATTGGGAACCAGGTGACAAGGCCTGGCTGCATTGCCCTCAGGCACCTTTGGCCACGTCGCCTAAATTGTTGAAGCCGTGGCGAGGACCCGTGGAGGTCGTGCGGGTTGCGCGCCCCCAGTGCGTTCAGATAAAATGGGGGAAACGCCGTTGGTACGTCCACCCCTCCCGACTGAAACCGTTCTCGCCTCCGTATGGCCTCCCCTTGTGTCGTGAGGGCCGAGCATGTGACGTGACCGACGACCCTGAGGGGGAATTGTCCTTGCCTGCTCCTCACATGTCTCCGCCTGACCCGCTCCCAGGTGTCTCGGAACTGACTGCTGCCGACCACCGGCGGCCGGATCTCCACGGCGGGGCCGGTCCTTCCAGGCCCGATCCGTGCCGTCTAGAGCTGCCGGAGACACCGGACGGTCGCCAACGTCCCGTTCCGTACGACGGACCGGCCAGACGGACTCGCGCTAGGTCGCGCTACTTTGTGTAATCTACCCCGTGCGGAGTCGAGGCAGCCGGAGCGCCTCGGCACTGCGTGGGTCACGGTGACACTTGGCGCGTTCGTTTTACGGTGTTCGCTTTTATTGTGTTGTTCGTCGGGCTGTATATTGCTTCGTATTTAAGGTTGTGTTATGTTGTTGTTGTTGTTGTGATACGGGGCACACTGGGATGTGGAGTTCTTTATTACTGCGTTGCGTTATGTTGTGTTGTAGGTTAACAGCCGGGCCGGCTGCAAGCTATGTGGGAGGGGGTGATGTAGAGGTGATACGCGCTGGGATTAAGGATCGTATGCACAGTGTGTGATGATTGGCTGTGTAGGGGGTGACGCGCGCTGACGGTGGAGGATCAGGGGTCAGCGCGGGGTCGTGGGTTACGGGGTACCGATTGGCTGGGGGCGGTGACGCGCTGAGAGGGAGTGATTAGGTGGCAGCGCAGTGTGATTGGTGGGGTAATGTTAACACGCGCTGGGGAGAGCGGATCGTAGAGAGAGTGCGTCGGGATTGGGTCATTAAGGAACGACGCACACGTCGACGCCGCATCAGCTCCGTCCCTCGTGAGCAGGGGCTATAAAAGGGGATGCACACAGGCGTAAGGGCAGTGTGTAACCAGCGAAGAATGAAGACGGGGATGAAGACCTAGAGCCCTGCGGTACCTAGCCCCGCTGTCCTAAGGGGACCGGGACTCTGTGTAACCCAGAGGCGAGTGTAGTGGGTGTAGCCATAGGGCTTACACGAGTCGAGTGTATTGTGTAGCCAGAGGCATAGGGCTTACACGAGTCGAGTGTATTGTGTAGCCAGAGGCATAGGGCTTACACGAGTCGAGTGTATTGTGTAGCCAGAGGCATAGGGCTTACACGAGTCGAGTATATGGTGTGTAGCCAGAGGCCTAGAGCTTACACGAGATTAGTGGAGTGTGTCGGAGGAAGAAGGAAGACCACACGTTGTATTGTGATACCTAAAGGATTTAATAAAAGTGTGTTACCCGTCAAGAAGTTCCTGCCGTCAATTCGCATACTTCACTATCACCACTCACTGTGGTCATGGTAGCACGAAGACCACCACGGTATCCCCTGACTGGAGTCACAGGCACCCTCGGGGGTCCACAATCCCATCAATGTATCCCCTCACTGGGGTCGTGTTACCCCAGGTCTCTGTCCTGCTTCACCGGCCTCATGGGTACTGGCGTGGTCTGGAGCAAGGGATTCACTTTGCACTGAATAGTTCATGGCTCGCCGGCTGGGGTAGGTGGCCAGTAACTCGCAGCAGCCAGAGCGAGAGGTTTACTGGACGTGGTGCGCCATTGATATTAAGCCCTTTGTGGAACCGACCATTTTGTCTACCTTTATGGGGGTTCAAGGTGACCCCAGCCGCAAGGGTCACGGAGTCCTTGAACCCGCTCGTCTCCCACCCCCACGTGCGGCCCTGTGTGATCCAGCCTCGACCCCTGACCCTCACCCCATCCCCGCCCCACATCCAGCAGGTGGGGTTGACCGCCGCGTGACCCCCCACCCCTTCCCGGCGCCCCGGACTCACGTTGCCGCGCTGGATGTAGTTGGGGTCTCGCGTCACGTCTCGGGCCAGCCCAAAGTCGCAGATCTTGGCGAGGAAGCCCTCAGCCAGCAGCACGTTCCGAGCCGCCACGTCGCGGTGCAGGCACTAGGTCACGGTGAGGTCACGGAGCGGTCATGGTGAGGTCACGGGTAGGTCATGGTGAGGTCACGGATAGGTCATGGTGAGGTCACCAACAGGTCACAGACAGGTCAATGAGAGGTCACAGCTAAATGACATGTAATGCAAATGCGTGATTTAATTATTCTCGGAATGTATATTTGGTATCTAAATTACATTTTCCCCAGTAGGTGGTGATTTTAATGTAATTTTTCTATCTCTGGCTCACTACTGATAGGTAATTCGCACCGAGGTGTACAGCAAGGTCGCAGGTCACCTGTAAATTATGGAGTAATGGGGGTCACAGGTCACAACGAGGTCAAGGAGAGGTCAAGGACAGGTAACAATGGGGTCTCGGTGAGGCTGGAGTATGACATGAGCTCACGGCGAGGTATCGCTGAGGTCATGATAGAATCAGGGCACAAGGCGATGAGATCTGGGATCGTGCCAGGTCACGCTGAGGTCACCTTTTTGGAGGAGAGGAAGGCCATGCCGCCCGCCACCTGGTGGCACAGGGAGAGCAACTCCCGGGGCTGCAGGATCTCCTCCGAGCCTCCTGCAGGACACGGGGCGTCACCGTCATTATCGACATCAACACCACCATCGTCGTCCACAACGGTAGCTCCATCACCATGAGCGGCCTCGTCGTCCTCATCGACACAACAGTCACAATCAACACAACCACCACCACCATCATCATCATCACGAGCAGCTTCAGCATCGCCAATTAGCGTGCACTGTGCAATACGCACGCACTGTACAGAGCGCGTACATTGCAAGGTGCAGAGCGTGCAGATGGGGCCCACGCGTTCGCTTTTGAAGCGCGACTCCCTGTGGTGTTTCTCCCCCCCTCCCCCACCCGCCCCTCGCTCCCACCTGGTTCCACCAGGTTCCCGTAGACGGAGTGTTGGGGTGCGAGCCCCGGCTTGGGGGACCCCTTGGGGCTGTGTGCCCGGAGGAAGGTCAGGAGGTCGCCGTGGCAGCAGTACTCGGTGATGAGCAGCACGGGCTCTAGGGGCACAGACACAGCCACTCCCACCGGGGTCTCGCGCAGGGAAAGCAGGGGGAGGAGGAGGAGGAGGGAGGGGGGATCATAGGGACCCACCAAGGGGGAGGGATCGATCAAGGAGGAACCACGGAAGGAATCAGAAAGGGGTGAGGGTTGTGGTAGAATCGGAGCAGTAGGGAGGGGGGGTGAGGAGGGGGATCGTGTAGGAGGAGCTCAAGGGGGACCAGTGGGGATCAGCGCCCCACCGCGCTCGGTGCAGGCTCCCAGCAGGTTCACGATGTTCGGATGCTGCCCCACGTGACACAGAACCTTGAGCTCCATGCGCAGAGCCTCGCGCTCCACGGCACGGGCACTCTCTGTGTGGGCGGGGGGGGGTAAGGTGGAAGGTCAAGCCGGGTCCACACCTGAGCAATCAGTTGCACAACCAAACGGCTCTCCAACTGCTTTGTCCCACGTCCGAGCGAGTAGTTGCACAACAGGAACGTGGCTCGTAATACGATGGATAATATTGGTTGCCAACGCCGACTCGGTGTTAAGAATATCGGTGGCTTCAGTGTCTGGGGGCGCGTCCTTCACACCGCAGGCTCGCCTCTACTCTGGCTGGCCTCACACTCCTCCAGCAGCCAACTTGACAGCCCCGTCACCAGATCGCAAATGTGCCGAGCGGCGAACCCTGGCAGTTGGTCGCAATTGTTGAAGTTTATTGTGACGGTGACTTGAAGCAATACAGGAGCACAATGCAGTTGATAATTGTTTTTTTACCCTTTTTCTGGCAACAAAACTGACACCTTTTTTACAAGGAGTCATGTTTGCATAGAACACAATACCTGCAGTCGGAATACAAACAAAAAACATAACTCTGATAATGAATGCACTGTCCTTGAAGTTGATTGGTCCACGCCCGAGACAGCTTTCCTTAGAGCCTAGTCTCACATGGTGTTGGACCAGATGACGCCTTTTGTTTGCATTCCGACCGCAGGTATTGTGGTCAATGCTAAACATGACTCCTTGTGAAAAAAGGTGTCAGTTTTGTTGCCAGATAAAAGGGTAAAAAAAACAATTATCATATTTTGCTACTGGCAAATGAGGTTCCAATCACGATGCAGTTCTTCGGGGGAACTGCCGATGGGGTTTTTGTTGTCGCTGTTTAACTTCATGCTTTCTTGCACGATACGATGTGTTGTTTCACAATACCTCGCTACAATACGCCCAGCACAGCGGTGGGAAGTGGATTACGCCTCCGCTTGAAGCAACCGGTTGCGCAGTAGCTCGCAACCGGTTGCAGAGATTTCGATTTAAAGCGTTCGTGACTGCAGGGATTCATATTCTTGTTTCTTTCGGTAAAGTCACGTAGAAGGGAAATAATATTTAGAATGTTTCCCTTCTAAATAATATTTCCCTTCTACGTGACTTTACCGAAAGAACCAAGAATATACTTGCAGACATGTCCACATTCAAGCGAATCAGTTGCGTGCAATCGAGCAGTTACAACTGATTGCTGAGGTGTGGACCAGCCCCCCCTCCCAGCCTCTCCTCACCCTGGAGCCGTCCCCAGCACACCACATCCAGTATCGCACCTCCCCCTACGGCTCTGGCTACTCGTCACATGCCACCGTATACATACATAATACGTACTGTGCATACGTTCTGATGATACATACTTGTGATTTCGTTTTTGCATCAAGCTAAGGGCCCACGATGCACGGGGAACCCATATCTAATAGGTGTCGTTGCCTGTAAGCATCGGGCAGTTCGTCATCATTGGTCATGCACGCCTGATGCTGCTGATGAGACACTGACTTTCAAAACCGATGTGAGGTTTGCTTGTGCTGAACCAATGCCGCTGCGTTTGAGCACTCCCAGAAGGCCGTGGGGCCGATGGGATGTGTAGGGAAAAAAATTAACCCGTTAAAACAAAGTTTTTCACTATAAATCCTTTATATGCGTGGCATCGGTTTTTTTTTATTATTAATTTCTGTTTTTTTTGAGTAAGAGTTTCATTTTTATCACATTGGTATTTTAAAATAAAATATGTGAAAAATTTTTCCTAAAAAGTGGAAAATTTAGGAATAATTTTTTCACGAAAATAAATTGTCACGCACAACGAGTCTGTGTGCAAAATGTCAGCTCGATTGGATCACGGGAAGTGGGTTAAAAAACGACCGAAAGATTTGCACGGTCGTAAGCAAGCACGCAAGCAAGCAAGCGAACTTAATATAAACTAAAGGATTTAAAAACACTTGTTTTGACACGGAGAGACGTCTGCACGGCATGAAGAATTGCCACCAAATTAATTTACAAAAATATTCAGCTCGGCTGTCCCCATGCCCCATTTCCCTGCTCCCCCTCAATTGGATTGACCCCCCCCACCACCCATTGCTTGCCCCCCCACCCCTCCCCTCACTCTTGAGCCGCTTGACGGCGACGCACGTGGTGGCGCCCTGCTGCCCGTGGAGGCCGTGGGCCGTGGCCGCCACCACCTCGCCGAAGGCTCCCGTGCCCAGCGTCTCCCCTGGGGGGGGGGGGGAGGGGACACGTGACGTGCGGAGAGGAGAGACACGTGGTGGGGTTCCAGACCTCCTGAGCACTCCATTCGCCCTCGAGTCACTCCTATAGTCACCCTGGTAGTCACTCTTACGCAGTACTCGCTATGTAGTCACTCCCCTAGTCACCCTACATTCACTCCTATAGTCACTCCTCTAGTCACCCTGTAGTCACTCCTCTCGTCATTCCTCTCGTCACTCCTCTCGTCACCCTGTAATCCTATCGTGACCCCTATACTCACCCTGTACAATATGAACTGCTGCAATCAGCACCGTACTCGCCCTGTATTCACTCTGTCACCCTTCTAGCCAACATGTATTCGCTCCTAGACTCACCATATTAGTCACCCACACAGTCAACCTCGGGCTTACCCAGGTCGAGTGTGGCTCTGTCCACCTCCCAGTGGTGGAGGTCGTAGGTCAGCTTGCCGGGGTCGATGTAGATGTACTCGTTCGTGTCGTGGTCCACGGAGTCGATGATTTTCCACTGAACCTCGTAGTGCGGCTTCTGTGGAGCGGTACCGGTACTCAGCACTCACTCACTCATCACTCACTCACACAGCCACTCACTCACTCAGCACTCACTCACTCATCACTCACTCAGCACTCACACAGCACTCACTCACTAATCACTCACACATCACTCACTCACACAGCCACTCACTCACTCAGCACTCACTCATCACTCACACAGCACTCACTCACTAATCACTCACACATCACTCACTCACACAGCCACTCACTCACTCATCACTCACTCACTCAGCACTCACTCATCACTCACTCACACAGCACTCACTCACTCACACGTCACTGACTCTCACGGCGCTCAGCACTTGCACTAACCATCACACAAAGCCAGCACTCAACACTGCCCTAACCTTGGGCAGTTCACGTTGTCAGCATTGTATTACCGTTATTATGAATACGCTTTACTCCCCAGGAAAGCCTCACCGAATCTCAAATAATTTTTTTTAGGAGGATCCTGCCAAGTTTTCCGCATTAGGGGACGATGTTGCTGCTGCTGCTGTGTGATCCCACTGAGTGATTTTCATTTATTTAAGTTTTTCGCATTGGGATGTTTGCCCAATACCCTATAACATTGTTGTAGTTACCTACATGGGACAGTCTACCTAAGCCAGCCGACCTGAGTTTGGGGGCTATCGTACAAAGACCATGTCACAAGCAAGGGGGCTCTGGCCGTAACGAATATCGATGCCGAATGCCGACTCGCAGGAGCACCCACGGGACAACATCTCCGATATCACCGACGCGGTTGGCGATGTCGCGCGGGCACGACGGCCCCCTGACTTGCTGGACGGACGGAGGCACAGAGCCGAAGAGGACGAGACGAGCGACATCACAGGGCGGAGCGAGGTGGTGTGGAGACATCGGGGCAAGGAAAGCCACAGGACGGAGCGCCTCGGAAGGTAACGACGCATTGAGACGTCGCGGGTGGACCGTGAAGGTCACCGCGTGTCCACCGTGCGGCAGCTGTTGGGGGTCTGGCGGAGGGCGGGGAGCGTTGGGAGCGTTGGGAGCGAGGAGGCGGCGGCGGTGGCGGTGGCATCAGCGGCTTTGGGCCACGGTGACATCTCGAGCACTTTGACGCACCCCCAACGGTCGCGACGGATGGCCGATTGGGGGGTAGCAGGAGGAGAGAGCGGATGAGGCCTGTGCGCGAGAGGCCGCGGTGGCCCTGAGCTCACCTGCTTGTACCTGTAGAACAGGTACCCCGCGATGAATGTCATGGCCAGGGTGGCAGCGCCCAGCGCCGGCACCACGTGGTTCCCTTGTTGGGCACCGCTCCTCTGGGCCTGGTGAGCGACTCTGGGTGGCTCTAGGAGCAGAGGGAACACGCGGATTGCTTGACGGGGAGGCGGGTGGAAGCTAGTTTTTTTTTTTAAACAAAGTTGCTGAGCACAGGCCGAAAGGGTACCCCAAAATGCTAAGCGGGCAGCAACAAACAGCACTGTTAAGACTTGACAAGGGTGAACACGTGTTTTGAGGGTGATTTGTAAGCGCTTGAAGAGGAAGATGCGAATATCAATTGGTAGCGCTGTACCGCCACCACGCGCTGTTCGCTCCTCGTTGTCCTACAGAGAGAGAGAGGGGGGCGACTCAGAGGTGTGAGGAGGAACCGCGGACGAGCGAGAAGGCAGCAGCAGCAGCATCCGGGCGGTGAGTCTGCGCCGACAATTTACAAGCGCCGCGGTATCTCCATCAGTGATGGATTATCCTCGTAGCAAAAGTAGCCACAAATGCAGCTACGGGCCCCGCACTTTCAAGGGCCCCGCGCTAAATGCTTTCAAGCTATCAATTCTGGTTCAGTGATTCTGCACTTGCTCTATTACTATAGTACTATACCGCCTTCAACTTTTATGAACGACTGGGTGTTTAAAGTTAGCGATTTGTCGTATTATCTGGCTGTATAACAAATGAAAAAATACAATTACTTTACTGTGCAAGTAAAAAAATTGTGTTTTAATATTTATGTTTTTTTTTTATGAAGGGCCCCTTTATAACATTTGCTACAGGCCCCGCACTAGCTTAATCGGTACTCATCTCCATCTATTAAGGTGTTATCATCCAATTAATGAGCGTGTATATGTACACGTGGGAGGAAACCGGAGCACCCTGAGAAAACCCACTCGTGCGAGGGGGAAACACTCTATCCCGTAGAGACGCAACAGGTGGAGTACACATTTGCTGCACCACCTACTCCTGGCGAGCCAAGGACACGGCTCCTCTTTGATGCCCACGGGAAGGGAGATCCCCTCGCTACCTCCACAGTTCTGGACTAGAAGCCACGTGCGTATCCACCACCGCCTGCCACCAGGAGACGATGGGAGGGAATTCTCGAGTGGCGCATGGCAAGAAGTAGAAAGAGAAGCGTTGTGACCTGTAGGGACCCCGGTGAGTGATCGAGTGACTGGGGTGAGTCAGTGAGTGCTGGATCATCGGTCACCCTGGCTGCTGCTTTACGTTGAATGATATCAGGAGTCGGGGTAGGTGATGGGAACAAGTAAAGTGGAGTTGATGTGCATGACAAGGTCCACTTGAGCCAGTTTTCCTAAACCAGGCTGTGAAGCCGGGCATAGCGATTGGTGTGTTTGATGATTGCGCGTCATGAATGATGTGTGGGAGGATGACGGTGGTGTCACGCGGTGAGCAGGACGGTCGCATCTCACCGCTCGCCATGCTCACGTTGACGCTGATGACCGCGTGCGCGTCATGAATGATGTGTGGGAGGATGGCGGTGGTGTCACGCGGTGAGCAGGGCGGTGGCATCTCACCGCTCGCCATGCTCACGTTGACGCTGATGACCGCGTGCGCGTCATGAATGATGTGTGGGAGGATGGCGCATCTCACCGCTCGCTATGCTCACGTTGACGCTGATGACCGCGTGCGCGTCCCCGTTGTGCGCCACCATGGAGTAGCTGCCACTCTCCACGGGGACAATGCGACGCAGCGAAAGCGTGCACTTACACCTAGCACGCGTGGACGTACATAGACACACACACACACGCGCGGACACGAAGGGACAGAAAGCGGACAAAGACTTACAACAACAACCGCCATTCACCACTAAGTGACGGTGGCATCACCACGACGCTTGTGCCAAGCTACGTGCACTGTGAGGCAACGTGAAGTGTTGAAGGCTCGTTTGCAGGAGGTCACGGAACAGACCCAGGTGCCATGGATTGAGTGTGCTCCCTACTGTGTCAACTTGTTGAATTTTATCCGCCCGGCACTCCGCTCATTGTTGTGAGCGTCGTTCCTCTGCCCTCCGCTGTTGTTGGAGGGCAGTTACCTCGAAGTGCCCAGTAGCGACGTCTTTCACGAGCCTCCTCCACAGAGGTGGATCTCGACTCCGTTGGTATAAGTGGTCGGCAAGTCCACTCAGCTCCACGTCCTATTGCACCGCATCAGCTCCATCTCTTCTACAGCCCATTAAATCGCGCCCGTTAAGCCCCCTCGAATTGGACAAACAGAAGCTGCCTGGGCATGCGTTGGCTGGGCATGCGGGCTACGTGACCCAGCCAACGCAACCTCGCCTGCCGAAGGATCTCAACGATGGGACTGTGTCCATATCGTTTAGGGATCTGCGAGCTCTTCGCACTGTAACCCAGCCTGGTAAAATCCACGATGGATCGGTGCAGGGTGTTCCCTTACAGCGCCCCGCGTTTCGGTAAGCGTAGAGAAGGGAGCGCATGCCCCGTGGCCGGGGACAACAACAAACAAAAAACCGCCCGGACAAACGACACGGACACACGACGCAGACATGCGGAGCCTGCATCATACCAGTGTCCGCGGGTAGTGTCCTCGCAGGCCCGTGAGGTCGACGCGTTGATGACCGAGACGCCGTTGTGCAGCCAGCTGCAGTTGCTGAGTGGAGGAACCGAGAGCACCCCCACGCTCAGCTTCAGGGAGTCGCCGCGCGCCACCAAGACGCTGGGTCCAGGCGGATTCAGCAGGGACAGCTCCAACACTCCGCGGTCTGCACAGGTAGCCAGCCAGGATGATCGGAGCCCACATTTCAAGTGCACCCGCGTCTCGCCGCGCTTGCGACTTCCCGCTCACGGCCAACACCCAGTGACGATTACCCGAACCGGTCCTGGGCTAGCCGTAGATCGACTCAGCCTCAAATGAGTACCTGGTGGGTGTGTGTAAACATCGCCACGAGGGAGACAAAGGCGGCCGAGCATGGTACTGGTCACCCAAACCCCCCTTTGTTCCATGCCGGTCTTCATAGGTGTTCGCTAAACACCACTTGCCCCTAGAGTCTGGGAAGGCTATATGGGTCATCTTTGTATTTGTCGGATATAGGGTTTGTGTGTACTGTATATAAAGTCTGTGTGTGTGTATATATAGGGTGTGTGTGTATGTTGAAGGTGTGTAGGTTGTGTGGGAGCGAGTGGCATGTGCATGTGTGCCAAGTGTTTGTGTGCATGACTCCTTGATGCAGGTGTGCATGACTCCTTGATGCAGGTGTGCATGACTCCTTGATGCAGGTGTGCATGGCTCCTTGATGCAGGTGTGCATGGCTCTTATCGGGGCTGGGCATTTGTGTGCAGGGCGTGTGCAGGGTGCGTGTGTATGTTAAACTTCCTTCGCACCGTACGTAGCCAACCTTGCTAACCGGGGATGTGGGTTGGGTGTGCGTCCGTGGACGGTGCGCGTGTGCAGGGTGTGTGTGTAGGGTGTGTGTGTGTGTGCAGGGTGTGTGTGTGTGCAGGGTGTGTTTGTGTGCGGGGTGTGTGTGTGTGTGTGCAGGGTGTGTGTGCAGGGTGTGTGTGCAGGGTGTGTGTGCAGGGTGTGTGTGTGCAGGGTGTGTGTGTGCAGGGTGTGTGTGTGTGTGTGCAGGGTGTGTGTGTGCAGGGTGTGTGTGTGTGTGTGCAGGGTGTGTGTGAGCAGGGTGTGTGTGCAGGGTGTGTGTGTGCAGGGTGTGTGTGTGTGCAGGGTGTGTGTGTGTGCAGGACGTGTGTGTGTAGGGTGTGTGCAGGGTGTGTGTGTGTAGGGTGTGTGCAGGGTGTGTGTGTAGGGTGTGTGCAGTGTGTGTGTGTGCAGGGTGTGTGTGTGTGCAGGGTGTGTGTGTGTAGGGTGTGTGCAGGGTGTGTGTGTGTGCAGGGTGTGTGTGTGTACAGGGTGTGTGTGTGTGCAGGGTGTGTGTGTGTACAGGGTGTGTGTGTGTGCAGGGTGTGTGTGTGTGTGTACAGGGTGTGTGTGTGTGCAGGGTGTGTGTGTGCAGGGTGTGTGTGTGTGTGCAGGGTGTGTGTGTGCAGGGTGTGTGTGTGTGTGTGCAGGGTGTGTGTGAGCAGGGTGTGTGTGCAGGGTGTGTGTGTGCAGGGTGTGTGTGTGTGCAGGGTGTGTGTGTGTGCAGGACGTGTGTGTGTAGGGTGTGTGCAGGGTGTGTGTGTGTTGGGTGTGTGCAGGGTGTGTGTGTAGGGTGTGTGCAGTGTGTGTGTGTGCAGGGTGTGTGTGTGTGCAGGGTGTGTGTGTGTAGGGTGTGTGCAGGGTGTGTGTGTGTGCAGGGTGTGTGTGTGGATGGGGTGTGTGTGTGTGCAGGGTGTGTGTGTGTACAGGGTGTGTGTGTGTGCGGGGTGTGTGTGTGTGTGTACAGGGTGTGTGTGTGTGCAGGGTGTGTGTGTGCAGGGTGTGTGTGTGTGTGCAGGGTGTGTGTGCAGGGTGTGTGTGTGTGTGTGCAGGGTGTGTGTGAGCAGGGTGTGTGTGCAGGGTGTGTGTGTGCAGGGTGTGTGTGTGTGCAGGGTGTGTGTGTGTGCAGGACGTGTGTGTGTAGGGTGTGTGCAGGGTGTGTGTGTGTAGGGTGTGTGCAGGGTGTGTGTGTAGGGTGTGTGCAGTGTGTGTGTGTGCAGGGTGTGTGTGTGTGCAGGGTGTGTGTGTGTAGGGTGTGTGCAGGGTGTGTGTGTGTGCAGGGTGTGTGTGTGTATAGGGTGTGTGTGTGTGCAGGGTGTGTGTGTGTACAGGGTGTGTGTGTGTGCAGGGTGTGTGTGTGTGTGTACAGGGTGTGTGTGTGTGCAGGGTGTGTGTGCAGGGTGTGTGTGTGTGCAGGGTGTGTGTGTGTGTGCAGTGTGTGTGTGTGCGCGTGTAGGCTATGTGTCAGTACTGGACGTATGTGCATGTGCAGAGTATGTGTGTACAGGGTTCGTGTGCAGGGTGTGTGTGTGTGTGTGCAGAGTGTGTGTGCAGGGTGTGTGTGTGCAGGGTGTGTGTGAGCAGGGTGTGTGTGCAGGGTGTGTGTGCAGGGTGTGTGTGTGTGCAGGGTGTGTGTGTGTGCAGGACGTGTGTGTGTAGGGTGTGTGCAGGGTGTGTGTGTGTAGGGTGTGTGCAGGGTGTGTGTGTGTAGGGTGTGTGCAGTGTGTGTGTATGCAGGGTGTGTGTGTGTGCAGGGTGTGTGTGTGTAGGGTGTGTGCAGGGTGTGTGTGTGTGTGCAGGGTGTGTGTGCAGGGTGTGTGTGTGTGCAGGGTGTGTGTGTGTGCAGTGTGTGTGTGTGCGCGTGTAGGCTATGTGTCAGTACTGGACGTATGTGCATGTGCAGAGTGTGTGTGTACAGGGTTCGTGTGCAGGGTGTGTGTGTGTGCAGAGTGTGTGTGCAGGGTGTGTGTGTGTGTACAGGGTGTGTGTGTGTGCAGGGTGTGTGTGTGTGTGCAGGGTGTGTGTGCAGGGTGTGTGTGCAGTGTTGTATCTATGCCCTGTTTTCCGTTATTACTATTAAGAATAATTAAGAAAAACATTTTTTATAGCTATTTTTTTTTTTAATAATGAAAACAACTCACGGGCACACCGGGAGTCCATGAGACATGGAGGGCGGTTGAAATGATAGGAATTCGGTCACAAAAGGTCATAGACATCCAGACGGACAAAAAGATGTATGGACTAAACCTCCCGAGACATCTGGAGATGTACAGATAAGGTGCAGAGTGAATGACGGTTGAAGCTTCGCGTTTTCTTGGCGTTTTCCCCACCGAAAAGTAGAAACTTAACAAAGATAATTAACCAACAAACAATAATATTTTTACTATTATTATATGTTTCCTACCTACACGACCTTCCAAAAAAGCTAAAGAGTGCGAATTCCAGAGGGCTTAAAAAAATAACTCGGAATAAACACCAATCTCTGGAGAACTAAACTGGGCGAAGCCCCAAGGTAATAATGTGACGAGGAGCATTACGAATACTCATTAAACATAGACGAATGATAACCACGATACTAAGACCGAAGGAACTCATAACATATAATTCAAGAATAAATGTAACACACAGGACCACATAAATGTATTGCAAACATCTCCTCGACCACCTTTGTCTTCCAGCGGGGTCTGACCTCAGAATGACCCACCCAGAGTAAGCAAGGAGGGAGAAAAAAAGGTCACAAAGGGGGGGGTTTGTGCTGACATTGGTTGTTTTCTCTCGCAAGAGACGCGGAGAGAGGAGTGGATGCTCGCGTGTTTGAGTTAAGCACGGCCGCCTTTGTCTCCCCGCAGCACAAACAGATGGCCCAGGAATGCTTGGAGGGTTAGGAAAAGGTCACAAGGAGGGATCGCGCCGGTGTCTGTTTCTTCTCGCTCTGTTTGTTTTTTTTTGTTGCCCGCTCGCAAGGAATGCAGAGAGAAGGGAGTCACGTTTAAGTTAGGCACACACACAGCGAACGAGCAGTCTGGGTTGAGTCGTGCTCAGTCTGGTCCGAGTCGAGCTCAGCGTTGCGACGGGGCACGCAAGGGAGCTGTGGCAGTCGTGCCTCGAGGAGAGATGGGACGACGAGACATCGTTAAAGTGACAGTCTGAGAGCAGTCTGTTCGAGTCGCGCTCAGTCTCGCAACTCGGCTTGCGACGCAGCGTTGCGACGGGGGCTCGCAAGAGAGCTGGGGCGGTTGTGCCTCGAGAAGTGATGGAACGAGGAGGAGTCGTTCGAGTCGCAGAAGTCTGCGTTCAACCTGGGTCAGGGCTGGGTTTCAGCCGTGCTCCGGCTGGCGGAGCGTCGTGAGGACACGAAACACCGATGCCGATAACAGGTGTCGCTTCTCGCAGAACGAAGTTAAGTGCGAGTGAAGCTGGCAGTTGCCCGAACAAAGGAAGCACGGAGCAGAGAGAGTGACGAGTGACGACAAACAATCAACCTGTAAAAGGGCGGAGATCGCCAAGCGTCGACCAAGCGTGCAAAACAGAGAGCGCGAAGCAGTGGAGAAAGCCTGGTCAAACGGCTGTGGAGAGAGAGAGAGCGCAAGAGCAGCACGACTCGGACGTCACCGGGCGTCACCGAGCGTCGTGCCAACTCATCATTCAGCAGTGGAGAAAGCCTGGTCAAACGGCTGTGGAGAGAGAGAGAGAGCGCAAGAGCAGCACGACTCGGACGTCACCGGGCGTCACCGAGCGTCGTGCCAACTCGTCATTCAGCAGTGGAGAAAGCCTGGTCAAACGGCTGTGGAGAGAGAGAGAGCGCAAGAGCAGCACGACTCGGACGTCACCGGGCGTCACCGAGCGTCGTGCCAACTCGTCATTCAGCAGTGGAGGAAGCCTGGTAAAACGGCTGCGAGGGAGAGGACAGCGCCATCGAATGCGCCGTGTGCCTGAGGGCACACCGACCAACGACCAGTGTGAACACACAAGACGTCCAGAGCGACGGCGAGCATCGTGCCGACTCAACAATCAATCGAGCAGTGGAGAAGCCGGGGGCTGCCACCAAGAAAGCGCGTGCGCCACCTTGCGCCACCGTGCGCCACCGTGCGCCACCTTGCGCCACCGTGCGCCACCGTGCGCCACCTTGCGCCACCGTGCGCCACCGGGCGCCACCGTGCGCCACCTTGCGCCACCGTGCGCCACCCTGCGCCACCGTGCGCCACCTTGCGCCACCGTGCGCCACCTTGCGACACCGTGCGCCACCCTGCGCCACCGTGCGCCACCTTGCGCCACCGTGCGCCACCTTGCGCCACCGTGCGCCACCCTGCGCCACCGTGCGCCACCGGGCGACACCGTGCGCCACCCTGCGCCACCGTGCGCCACCTTGCGCCACCGTGCGCCACCTTGCGCCACCGTGCGCCACCCTGCGCCACCGGGCGCCACCGTGCGACACCGAGCGACACCGAGCGACACGAGCGACCGAGCATCTTCAAGGACAGCATCGTGCCAACTCGTCATCTAGCAGTAGAAAGAGAGAGCGCACGAGCAGCACCAAGCCCCGGAACCATCAAGCGCCAAGCAAGCAAGTTTCTTCAAGGAACATCGTGCCAACGCCGCTCAATCCAGCAGTGGAGAGAGAGAGAGAGAGCAAAAGCCGAGCGACACGCCGAGCGAGGGAACAGCAGGAGCAGAGCGGCGGCCACGCCCAACCCAGAGAAAACTTCTGGCCGCTGTTCGTATCCTCCCACACCACACAAGCTAACGACACAATTAATATTACGAGGGGACAACGCACACACAGCACGCACACGAATAAGACTTTAAAAGAAAAACTGTCTTTTCGTTTCAAAAAGGGTTGCCATTTCGAGGTGGTGCGTTCAATATCAACTGATCGTGCAAAGCAGTTGCTGCCGTCGAGTTACATGAATAAGAAATGTTTTGGTCATTCATTTTCGTTAACTGCATAATTTCGCCAATGAAGAAGTATTTTTAGTCATTCATTTTCGTTAATTGCATAAGATTGCCCATGAATTTATTGACGTATACTCGCTTTCGCATACTAGAGTGTCATGTGCTTGTTTAGAATTAAAATTGCTTAACACCAACTGTTCGAGTGCTTCTTTCCAAGTCCATGCAAAACTGTCTTATTCTTGACAACTGTATTCTGTGATGAGATCTGAAACTGGTGACCTGAAATATCATAACACACACTAAGATAATCGGTAAACGTTTAATCGATGATAATCGTGTTATCCTGATTGATATAACTCTGGATAAACGAAGCTGAGCCTAATTATCACAACTGCACACAATAACACGACCGCAAGCATCCGCATAAATTACTACGATTATCATAATTTATGCATATAATTACACGCATTATCATTATTTATGCATATTAATACACACACTATCATAATTAATGCGATTTGCGCATTTTTCGGAAAATTATTAATTTTTATTATTTTCATCAAAATTTCATAATCCAACACATACAACAGCAGGGTGTGTGTGTGTGTGCAGGGTGTGTGTGTGTACAGGGTGTGTGTGTGCAGTGTGTGTGTGCAGTGTGTGTGTGTGCAGTGTGTGTGTGCAGTGTGTGTGTGTGTGCATGGTGTGTGTGTGTACAGGGTGTGTGTGTGTGCAGTGTGTGTGTGTGCAGTGTGTGTGTGTGCAGGGTGTGTGTGTAGGGTGTGTGTGCAGGGTGTGTGCAGGGTGTGTGTGCATGTGCAGGGTGTTTGTGCAGGGTGTGTGTGCAGGGTGTGTGTGCAGGGTGTGTACAGGGTGTGTACAGGGTGTGTACAGGGTGTTTGTGCAGGGTGTCTACAGGGTGTTTGTACAGGGTGTGTGTGTGTGCAGGGTGTGTACAGGGTGTTTGTACAGGGTATGTGTGTGTACAGGGTGTGTGTGTGTGCAGTGTGTGTGTGTGTGCAGTGTGTGTGTGCATGGTGTGTGTGCAGGGCGCGCACCCAGCACGGTGACATTGGCCGCGACGTTGACGGAGAGGCCTCCATCCCTGCGGTCTTTCCCCTGGCACAGCACACTCCCCGCGTTCTCACGCGCTGCTCGGTCCAGGCTCACGGCACCTTTGAGCTCGTGAAGAGACGGCGACATGATGTGGTACTCATTTGGGTGTTTCACCTGCGGCGGGGGGGGGGGGGGTCAGAGAGAGAGGGGTGACGTCGCGGCAGGGAGTCACCAGTCGATCCGAGGTCCCTGGGGCCTCTCGCTCGTTCGGACATCGACATGCCGGGTGGAGGTGAAGAGGCATCCAGTGCCGGGTGGTCCTCGTAGCACGAGTAGCTGCTACACGTGCTCGGGCCACGCACTTCCAAGGGCACCGCGCTAAATGCTTTCAAGCTATCAATTCCGGTTCAGTGATTCTGCACTTGCTCTATTGCTAAAGTACTATACCGACTCCTTGTAAAAAGGTGTCAGTTTTGTTGCCAGATAGAAGGGTAAAAAAACAATTATCACATGTTTTTACTGGCAAATGAGGTTCCAATCGTGTAAATGTTTACCCCGAGCTCTCATACTCTGATGGTGCATTGTCTTTGAGTTGTGCGCCTTTTGGCGTCGTCTGGTCCAACACCATGTGAGACTAGGCTCTAAGGAAAGCTGTCTCGGGTGTGGACCAATCAACTTCAAGGACAGTGCATACATTATCAGAGTTATGTTTTTTGTTTGCATTATGACTGCAGGTATTGTGGTCTATGCAAACATGACTCCTTGTTAAAAAAAATGGGTCAGTTTTGTTGCCAGATAAAAGGGTAAAAATCAATTATCACATTTTTTACTGGTAAATGAGGTTCCAATGGTACTATACCGCCTTCAACTTTATTAACGACTGGGTGTTTAAGGTTCGCGATTTGTCGCATTATCTGGCTGTATAGCAAATGAAAAAATACAATTACTTTACTGTGCAAGTAAAAAAATGTGTGTTTTAATATTTTCATTTAGGGCCCTTTTATAACGCATGCAATAGGCCCCACACTAGTTTAATCCGGCACTGCACTCACCCACAACGACTCTGTAGGGGCGAGATGGGTCCAGCGGAGCTCAATGTTTCTAACCTCCAACTGCACGGAGCAGCGGAAGTGGAGTGGGTCACCCACGCGGACCACCGCGAAGGGAGGTTCCACCTTGACTCGCGGGACCACGGCTCCTACACCGTCGCCACCATCATCACTCAAACATGATCACTCAACATCATCACCACCATCATCATCATCATCCTTATTGATTGTCAATGATCAATATGATATAATCATCGGGGGTATTCATGAGTAGTGATCTAATTATGAATACAGTATATCATCACTCGTAATTATTACTGATCACTGATCATCGCAATATGGGTATATCATCATTGCCAATAATATATACATCACGATCGTTATTGAAGTATCACCATCATGAGCACCCTGTCTTGGATTCAAGGCCAGGAGCATGGTTGCCACCTTTTACACTGTAGACCGAAAAGTTACATGTTTATGATTCTGACCAGGTCTGTCATCAGAACTGTGAAGTTCTCCTCCTGTAAAGTTCAACGCGATACCTGCACCAAGATCTGTGTACAAATCAACTGCTGGTACCCGAGCACGGACGCCAATTCCCAGGTTGTTCTGGGTCAAACCTAGACACGTGGAAACCCTCTCCAGGAGCCATAATACCAGCCATTGCCAGGAGACTTTTATATCTCGGCCGGTGTCACGGCCATCGGCCCAGATGGTGAAACCTCCTGCGATGGTGGTTGCACCATTGTACCTCTGAGACGACAATAACAACAGTGAATGATCAAAATGATCTGATTTGATTAGTAAGGTTATCAAGCAATCCACTTTTATGCGCCATATACGGACAACTGGCATAGCTAAATACTTGACATCTCTCGTGGTCCTGAATTTCGCTCTGGTCACATGTGCTACCGGTCAAGGCCCGGTCTTGTAAGTTGATCGATTGTAGGTGCCGCTATAATCCATGCTGTATTGGGTGTAACGAGTAGCTCTAGACCAGACGAGCGAAGGACTCGGGAAGCGGTGTCGGTAGAAATGAGAGGGCAAGCGAAACGTTGAGGACGGCAAGCTTGACCTTTAACCTCACGCGAGGGTGAGTGCCGTTGCAGCGAGGGGGTGGTATGAGACCATTTGGCAACGTCTACGTGAACAAGTGGGCGCTCTTCCAGCGATCTTTGTGGACATGTGGGATCCAGTGAGTGACTCGGGAAGAAGAGCGATGAGGGAGTTTACCGTGAGTCCTCGAAAATATCAGATCGAGGACACCGGAGGCAAGGACCGCGAGGTGAAGGACTAGAGCTGAGACAACGTCATGTATATTCTTAGGTTGTTTCGGTAAAGTCACGTAATAGCAATCGTGCTGTGACGGTTCCACCTGAAACGGAACCTTGTGTTGCCTCCGAAACGTCGTGATTTTAATTTTATTTTATTTAACTCTTATTAATTTTAAATTTTAATTTTTTACCTACGTGACTTTACCGAAAAAACTTAAGAATATGAATCCTTGCAGTCACGAAAGCTTCAAATCTAGAATTACAACGTCATGTAACTGGCCTTGAGGTCCAGGGCCGTTAGCGCGTCTACACACCATCATCATAATCATCACCAACATTTCGGAATGGCCAACATTCAAATGTCGACGTAAAAAAATATTCGAACGGACAAAAAACCCTCGTCTTCTGTACACAGAGCAATAGTAATACACGATCGTTCCACTACCCTTCCTGTCATCGATGACAATGCTGACAGCGATGAACCCAGAAGGGCCTCGCTGAGATACAATTTACTCGGCGCTGGGTTGGATGTGTGCACTGGAGAAACCCCCACAAGCACGAGAGGAGACTCCGGACCTCCTCATGGGTACTCCCAACAACATCGTCACGGCAAACGAGCGTCGTCGCTGTTGGCCTCGTAGCGATGAGGTGAACCCGGGTGGAACTGCACACAGGGACTCGCCTGCAAGCACCTCCGCCGTGCCGCGGTTGAAGAGGATGAGGAGATGGAAGAGGTGGAGGCTCCGATCCCTGGGCCCCATGGCGTGTAGCTGCCTACGGGGATGCACGGTGGCACTTTTATAGCTGAGTTCCTCCAGCCGCAACGACCCGCGGAGCAGGAAGAGGAGGAGGAGGTGGCGGTGGTCGTGCATGCAAAAGGTGGCGGTGAAGGCAATTTCGTGGTGGCAGAAGTGGTGGTTGTGAATGTTTTGGAGGTGGTGGTTGTAGGATTCAGGTGGGGTAGCGATGGTGCAATTTGGACAGATTGACGCGGAGAGATTACATGCTCGTTGTCGCCATTCCGGCGTCCCCGAGGCACTTGGAGCGATCCTGCTACGAGTGACGGAAATGAGGAACCACCGGTCATCACCCTTTAACACTCGCCCTTGGCACAGAGCCATTCGGTGGGGCGTAACTCCACTTTTGCTGACCATGTGTTCTTGCGGTACTGTGGTACCCGCTGCGGCTCCCGCTGTGGCTCTGGTTCCATCCCTCAGAAGTTCCTGTTTTTGTGGTTCTGTCTTTTTCACTCAAACGGAACCAAAGACCCTGGGCTTGTTCACCCAGGAAAGCTTGAGTCTCAAAACTCGTTTTTTCAGGAGGGTCCTGTCATGTGCGTTGTTTTTTTGCAGTCAGGTTTACACACCTACCTGTTTTATTGCCAGGGAAGGTAACACCTATTCTTGTTTCTTACACGCTTGATGTGGCTGTTGATCTCAACAACCCGCTGCATTGCGTGATATTGTGGCTATGGGAGGCTTTTTCTAACCTCCTCAGGTAGCCCTCTCGAGGTGTCGTCGTTTAAGAGCTGCAGTAAACTCTCCTTCTATATCGCACCCATATCCGCTTCGCGTCGTGATCGACCATTCGTCGCGGTCCCTCGTGTGCCTCCCGTCCCGGTGCCCCTCCGTCGCCTCCCACGAGGTCTCCGTTGCAAATGCCATTTCTGCCGCTGGTTGAACATCTCCCGATTGCACATACCCCACTCCTCCTGGTTTGCTGTCCCCCTGTTTCGGTTTCTACTGCTCCGATGTCACGCGACCCCCGTCGACCCATTCACACATTGTCTCCCAACTGTCTCTTGACGTCTTGAAACCGCTCGGATTTGCTCGAGCTCCTTCGCCGAAGCGTCTGCAAATGCATCGATGTCGTATTTAGAGCAACGGAGCGAAAACCAATTGCACAAGCCAGACATGAAATGAGAAGTCGTGCAAAGGAGACGGCACACATGGGACGGAAACAGCGTTCGCTCGAACCTTGCCGATGCATGAACTCTCTGGGTAAGGGGTGAAGGGTCGCCCGTCTCGTTGGGAGGCTCACTGGAACACACCTCGTGAACCAGAGGTGGGCAAAGTATGTCAATGGCACTTCACCAGATGGTCATCGATGCCCCCCCTCCCTCCCGGGTGCTGGTGAAACCTGCGAGCACGCGTTCCAGTCCTGCCAGGATGAACAAAGATCCCTTTCCACCATCGCGTCCCAAATTCAACAGAATAGCACGACGCTCTTAGCCACGGTTCCAGATGTCTCTGATGGGCGTGAACCCGGACGGAATAACAGGGGACCAGAGCCCCCTTTTCAAAATATTTTATATTGCGGCAATGGACGCCATTCTGAGCACGTGGCAGGAGGAGCATGGGATCCACATCTACATCACACTGATACAGCGCCCTCTAACGGCCGGCCCCTGTGCAGCACCGAGGGTATAAGCTGACCGGGAAGAACATACGAAGAGTTGCAGGACATCTGGAGTCCCTTCCTGGACAATCCTGTCATCACCCCCCCCCCCGCCCGCCTCCTCGTGGTGACACCCCCCCCACCCACCCTCCCGTGGGCCCCCGTCGCGTTGTGCGGCGGCTTGTTCAGTAGAAAGAAGGAACTCCCGGGGTGAACCGAGGTGCGGGGGGCAAAGCCGGGCCGAACCGTTTTTGCCGGATGTGATACACAGATGAAAATAAATGCTTGGAATACATGGCCCCTGTCGCGTACGTGGAAGTTATTTTCGCTGTGAGAATCTCGTGAAACAGAGTAGCTTATTTTTGTAGTGGTGACAGATTGGAGACCGAAAAAGATGGTAAGTTGTCAGTACAGAATTTACTTGATCAACAAGGTTAAATACAGGAAAGCACATTTCTCGACAACAGTGGTTCTTAACCTGGGGGTGCACGCACTCCCTGGGAGTGCAAGATGCCCTTCCTGGAATGGCAAGACGTGCCAGATTTTTTAGACATCATCGAAAACACAAATCAAACACAGGCACGTAAGTACAACTACATTGTTTAATAAAACCTGTGTATCTTCTTGGTTCTTTCGGTAAAGTCACGTAGAAGGGAAATAATAAAATAATAAAATAAAACATTATAAAATTATTCTCACGACGTTTCGGCCACAACGCAAGCAGCCGTCTTCAGGTGAAGAACAGGTCTGTCGGAAAGACAGCGTCTGAATAAAACACCACCAGACTTGGAGCGTATATTTAAGCTGGGTTGGAGGGGGAAGAGCGCCTTGACAAAATAATTTGCATATCAAGAGGAATTTAGCATATTTATGGGAAATGCAGATATGGGATTAGTCACTACTTGTGGAATGCGTAGGAGGTGGATGGGGGGTTCAAAGTCATAATTTCCCCGTGCATTATGCAGGATTAGCAGCATCAAAGGGAGGGAGTAAGGTTAGCATTAATAAAGGGAAGGAATGTTAATAGTATGGAGCTGCAGCAACTAATATGCTTATAGACTATACATTGTAATATTACACTATGTATTATTCTACCCACCCTACTGTATACCACACTGCTGTATATTCACTATACAATTACGATACTATATATTTACCTTATACATTGTATTAAACATTACACTTTTATACTGCTCGAAGTTTCTAGAAGGTGGCGTGGCCGGAGGCGAGGCCTGGCCACGCCGGGAAGTGTATAGGAGGGACGTGAGCGAAGGTTCGGGGCTGTCGCGGGGTCCCGGGTCCTGGCCGCGTCGCTGCTCGCCGTCATCTTTCTCCATCGTCCAGCCGCATGGCCGATCCTCTGCACGGCTCCCATTGTCGTCATCGCTACATTAGTCAGCCAGCTATGTAGTTAGACGCCGACGATGGGGCTGTGTAGAAAGATCGGCTGTGTGTAGCTAT